AGCCCAAATTAGTAACATTCACAAGAGACAAACTTAGAAGACCTAGTCTATGGTATAAAGAGGCTGAAAAATGCAGACAGAAATGCACAATCTGGAGAGGATAACTGATAAATGGGACTTTCTAAAGATTAAACCTCTGTGCTCATCAAAACCTTTTTTGTTTTAGGATTAAAAGAAAACTTACCAGTGTGGGTGTGTGTGGATCATTGACAATACCATCTCGGACAAGGATCTCATAACAGAAGTTTACAGAATACTACTGGACCTCCAGAAGAAAAGGATGATAACCCAAATACAAAATGGCCAAAAGACATTGAAAGATTTTACACAGAGGAAGACACTCAGATGGCCAACAGCACAGAAGAAATGCTCAAAATCACTGGCAACAGCAGAGATGCAAATCAAAACCACAATGAGATACCATCTCACTCTAGTAGCAGTGGCAAAGTTTAATAGGACAGCAATAAGACATGTTGGAGAAGATGGGGAGAGGTGGAATTCTCATACACTGTTGGTGAGATTGTAAATTAGTACAACCAGTCTGAAAGGAAGTTTGGTGTTTCCTCAAAAATTTGAACATGGAAACTCCTTTTGACCTAGTTATTCCACTACTAGGAATATACACTGAGGAAATGAAAACTGAGATAGAAACTCTGATTTGTACATCAATATTCATAGCATCATTATTAACCATTGCAAGAACATGGGAACAGCCTGATTGTCCAACAGCAACAGAACGGACAGAGAATTACGGTCCATTCACACAGTGGAATACTATGAAGCACTCAGGAACAATGATTTACCAAAATACTACACAACTTTGGAGACACTGGAGAGCACTGTGCTGAGTTAACGGACTCAGTCTCCTAAGGCCAAATACTACGTAAGACTGTTGTAAAAATAGAAGCATAACTAGTAAAACATTTACGGGGACCCAAGGGGGAAGAGGTGGGAGAAGGTGGGTGAGGATAGATAGGGGCGAAACCACAATGTTGCCCAATTTAGTGGGTGGAGGAGGTGAAGGAAATGGGAAGAATCCATCAGAGACCTGAAAAGACTGGTAATGATGGACAAGGTCCTGTAGTGATTAATTTTATAAAACATAATGCATGGGACTGATTGTATGAAACACAATGTGAATGACGACTAGTGTGAAACACCATGTATAAGAACTTTGAAAGCAAACTTAATTTAAAAAAAAACAATCTTAGGAAAAAACCTTTTTTCCTCCTCAGTATGAAGATACAGCATTTGAACCTTTGAAGCTCAGAACACTGTCTTTTTGCACTGTTCTTACTGAGAACAGTAGAGTCAGAACTGACTCATAGCTGACCCTCCAGCAGGTTTGCAGAGTCAATAAATTGCACAGAAGGAGGTTGCTCTTCTTTCTCCCATGGAGCAGCTGGTGGATTCGAACCACATACCTTTGGGTTAGCAGCACAGCTCCTTACCACTAAGGCACCAGAATCCAAGTCCATTTGCATTGTTGTTGTTGTTGTTATGTGCCATCGAGTCGTTTCCGACTCATAGCGACCCTATGCACAACAGCTCTAAACCCAGCTCTATCCTGCGCCAACCGCACTGCCTCTGACACACCCATCCCTATTACCCCAGTCACCGAATCAATCCATCTCATAGAGGGTCTTCCCCTCCTGCGCTGTCCCTCCACCCTCCCAAGCATGATGTCCCTCTCCAAGGACTTGTCCCTCCTGGCAACATGTCCAAAGTATGTCAGATGAAGCCCCAGAATCCTTGCCTCCAAGGAGCAGCTTGGTTTAATCCTCTCCAAGATGGATCTGTTTGTTTTCCTGGCAGTCCAGGGTACATTCAGTACCCTTCTCCAGCACCACAGCTCAAAAGCATCCACTCTCCTTCTGTCCTCCCTAGTCATTGTCCAACTCTCTGATGCATAACAAGCGATTGCAAATACCATGACCTGTATCAGGCGCACCTTAGTCTCCAGAGAGACACTGTTGCTCCTGAGTACGTTTGAGAGGTCCCTAACGGCAGACTTTCCCATCGCGATACGCTTTTTGATTTCCTGACTGCTGGTACCAAGAGTGTTAACTGTGGAGCCGAGCAAAGTGAAGCTGTGAACCATTTGCATTAGTTCGTAAATATTTTCTTTGCCTGATAGTGTTTTTGTTTGTTAACTTGCTTTTAATTGTGAACACAACCCTGTCTTCCAGGGTCGACTGAGGACACTTCTTCCAGCACCACATCAGGGTCTGTCATTTTAGGACAGGAGGTCAAGATAGAACTAGTAGACTAACATAGAATAACAGATTATAAACCCTGGTGTGTATATGTGTGTTTGCATGACATTTTGAATTGAACATTTGTAAATTAAATGAGTTAAGAAATAAAAAGTTGGGAAAATCTGTTGCCAAGGACATCTCCAAAGCACTGAAGAGCAATGATGTCAAGTTAAAGACTAAGGTGGGTGTGATCAGAATCATATTTTCAATAGCTTCCTATGCATCTGAAAGTTGAACAGTGAAAAAGGATGAGAAAATAGACGCTGACAAGTTGTGGAATTGGAGAAGAGTACTGAATATCCTATAACATGCCAAAAGAACCAATATTTCTTGGAGGAAATACAAACAGGGTGTTCCTTAGAAGAAAAGATTGTGAAGCTTCACCTCACACACTTTGGGTGTGTTATTACGAGGGTCCAATCCTTGGGGGAAAAAAAAAGACATCATGCTTGGAAATATGGAAGGTCAGAGGAAGCGAGGAAGATCCTTAATACGATAGACCAACACAAGGTGACCGTAACAAGAGGCTGGACCATGGCAGATGGGCAGGTGGTGCAGAACAGGGCAGGCTCAGATCTGTTGCTTACAGGGTTGCTGTGAGTCATACGTGACTTGAAGGTACACAGTAACAGCACACATTCAGCTGCTTATGAGTCAATGGACTGAGGGCCATGATAGTAAACTACCAAGGAACAAAAGCCCCAAACTAGGTGGGTTTGCAACGCTCCCGCCTCAATGTCCTCCCACCCACAAATGGGGACAATGGAAAGGGGGCCTCTGAGAACTGGTCTCCGCCCTCCCGGAGCCAGGCCTCTACTCTGCAGACATTCTGCTGGTCATCACTTCTTAAATGTGAGTGAAGGGTTCTGGGCAGAGGCGGCCAGTCTTTCTCCTGAGGAATTAGATGAATTAGAACCAGCAATGTTTCAGGCAGCAGTCTCGTACGTTAGGCAGTATGCCACTAGTGATGAGGGTAATATGATATTACTGTTATGTCAGGAATCCAGAACGAAGGTAGCATAGTGGAGTAGACTTGGGGGGAGGGATTGAATAACAATGAAATTATTATTATTATTATTTTACTTTTCAAAAAGAAAAACAAATTGGGGGAGGGGTGGAAAGGGAGAAAAGTGCAACAATGGCTAAGTGGAAATCCAAAGTCTCTGTAAACTTTCATTAAAATCAATTAAAAAAATAAGTGAAGGGAAAGTTTTCTGTGTAATTCGTTTTCAACACTGGAGTTTCTATCTTTTTGGTGTATTGAGAGAAGATCAAATGGGCCCTCACACATGTGGATGGATACACACGGACCCACACACACCCTCACACCAAACAACCTTCTTTCAATTACGGGAAAAATGGAAAAAAAAAACCCCAGTTTTAAAACAAATTTTATAAACAGCAGTACATTATAAGACCAGAATTAGAAGATTTAGCATTCATGTTTAAGCAATATGAAGTACCATTTATATCTACTCAAATTTTCCTATCAAATCAGTTACGTAAAACAAGATACAACTTTGCAAGCTACTTTTCAAGTTTAAGAGTTTTCAAAATCTGGCTTCTTACATTTTTATTTCAGGTACAAAAATTCAATCCATGAGGTCCCTTGTTTGGATTCACATTTTCATCTATAAAACGCGGACAAACTGCTGTGCTGGAGCAGGAGGATGGCCCTCCTCATCCCGTGCCGTCCTCCTCACCCTGCGCTGTCCTCCTCATCCCGCTCTGTCCTCCTCACCCCGCGCCGTCCTCCTCACCCCGCGCCGTCCTCCTCAC